AGGGAATTGTGTTAGCTTTTCAAGATTGGTCAGATTCAGCTATGAATTGCCATCTGACTGAGCTACTACTGCTAAAAATTGACAAGTGCAAGGCAACCCCCCCCCCCTCTGATCCCCACATGTGCTTTGCCCTTCCTCATACTTTGATTTATTGTCTCCCCCATAAGGCCAAACATACATAAATGAACAGCTTCTCTCCAACACAATTCCCTTATTGAAATGTATATATTAATATCATAGCAAGGTGGATTAGCAGGTGGGGCTTTTAAACTTCACTATTGAATACTTTTCTAAAGCAGGTTCATCAGTTGCTCTAACAACTTGTCATGTATAACGTCTTTTCAACATATATGTACAGTAACAAGCATACATAATTGATTTAGGAACAGATTTGTTTTTTGGTGCTAGTGTAATGTCTCAGTTACAGTCAGTCTCCAGAAAGTGTATAAAATAGCTAATTACTAGCAGTAGTAATATGACTGAAACCCAGGAGGTGCATTAAGACAATCCTTTATGTACTCTTGCTTAGAATTATAAGGATGAACTGGGGCTGTTATGGTTATTGGCTTCCTGCTCCAATATTGAAGAATGGAGAAGACGAGATGGTGCACTGAATAAAAACACTGAAAGCTTTTAATATTATCAATCAAAATTTAGAGCTAAACCTTCCATTTCTTCTTTCAAAAAAGAAGAAATGTAATATGTATGCATCACTAGTAGAAGATTTTGGATTCTTCATTTATTAAATTTCATGTATATGGGTTGAGAAATAATTAGGGTTAATAAATATTGGTAAAAGCATAAGCTTTTAAAAATGTAATACATTTCTATTGGGTACGCTACCTTTTGAATGTTGAATTAGGGAGAATCTTGGTTGATATAGCTCTTTTTATAGGGGGAAAATGTTGAGGCTTCTTTTTCTGTGAGTATTCTCAGATTATTAAATTGTTGAAGTACCGGTAATATACCAAACCACTCAATTTTTCTAGTTTGATTTGTTTCATTTTGATTTGAACACAGTCCCTTTGTCAGTACTCAGTATTGTCCATGTACTTACAGGAGCTGGGCATTATCTCCTTAATACAGCCTTTTCAATGTTATTATTATCAGGTGGCTAAGACTTCATAGATTACCAAGCAATAGTCATAAAAATCCATGACTGTTTCACATACATAATTCAATCCATGTTTTATTATAGGGAGATAAAATTGCAATATTTTACAGCTAGTGTAAACAGGTTATGAGAAGCATTCTTTACCCAGGCTGTTTTGTAGAAGATAATTCCTTTCAGTATATTTTTTTATAATTCTATGCTCAGACAATGAACTCAGTGGATTTACATCGGAGTAGTGTCATATCTGGTTACCCAATTAGTTCTAGAGTTCCAATATCTAACCAACTAGGAAAGTGGTTACAAGGACATCTTGACTTTTTCATACTTTATTGCTGCTTGGCAAAATGATAGCATCATATAAGTACATGACAATGCCTTGAAGCTCTATCAATCACTATGCTGATCATTACATCTTTATTACAAATTCTGCTAAGGTTATTATGAACTGGCCGTTGTGCTAGCTCTTACTGAATTGAATAACTATTTTTAAATATTTTCCCTTATTGAGAACAATGTTGTGAGAACTGGAAGATGTTTTAACTGTATTTTTGAAACTAAAATTCCTTTTCACTTTTTCAAGCTTATTTTTTTTTCAGCTTTTAGGAAAGGAAAATGGATTTCTCTAAGAGTAGGGAATTCATTGAACCTATGTTTGGAAACTGTTTTGTTCATTACATATCCACATTTCTGAGTCCTGTAGCAGATTTAACTCTTGGCTTTAAAAACTGTTTTAACTTTATGCAGTAAATATGGTGGGTGGTTACTCTATTTTGTACATGTTTTCCAAAAGACATAGTAAAACCAAATGGTTATATCTATACATATATAACAGAAAAGCATTGGGAAGCCAAAATTGGTTAGTGCTCCATGATGATTGTGTTCATCATGCATTTATGGATAATAGCTGTAAAAACTGAAGAAATGCTAGGTAGATAGGTAACTTGCTTGTTTGCCATGTATAATTCAGTTGGTTTTCATTCTCCACATGACCTGTCTACATCTAAACAGTTTCTTTCTATTCCTGCTTCTAAGTATAAAAAAGCATGAGGTTGCCAATACTCAATTATAACTGAAGTGGGATTCCTGCTCTTCAGAGTTATTATCTTTCCATCTGTAGTAATTTATGCCTCATTAAGAAAACCTAAATTAAGTTAGTTACTTTGTAGGCAACGTCAGTTCCATAGGGAGGTGAAGCCCATATCCTATAGCTGTTTGTATTTGGCCAGGGATCAAGAGGATGGAAATTGATTTGTTTATTTGTCTAATATGATGTAAAATTTGGTAAATTTGAACAGTTAAGGAAAAACCTTTAGGGAATAAGAAGACCCATAACAATACCTTTTCTTTGAAAAGGTTTTCAAAGCTATGCATAAGTCAGTAACAGATGCAGCTTGATTTCCCATAGGACATTTTGTTTTATTATGGTAACTCTTTGAAATAGCTTCCCGGTAACTCTATCAGCCAGCCAATCTGGAGCAATCATGTTGTCCATGGGTATTCTCATGCCCATCCTTTGGAAAGTTTGATGTGAAAGTCAAACAGATTCATCAACAGATTCTCTTAAAATCGCAAAGCTTTTATATGGTACGAGCAATTCCCATGGAGAATTCTTTTTACTAAAACTAAAACATAAGTCTATCAAGCCTATCAATATAAAAAGATCTCTCCTGGACAACAGTATTCTCTTCAACAGGATGCTGCTGTAGAATCTCAAATATCATTTCAGCGTATCAGGCTAGAGATTTAGAGTGGTGATTTCAATTTTACGAACCTTCTTTCTATTAATAGCCCACAGTGTCAGGCTTGGATGACAAGGTGGCCAATCAATTCCTGTCACAACTAATAGATCAATAGATAGATCTAATAATAGATTAATGGAAAAAAATTACATTTGAAGGAAAACACTTTGAAGAAAAAATTATTAATTGGATGGAAACTACTGTGCTAAAACTTACACAGATTTAATTGTCTTTAGTTGGGCAAATATTAAATTGATATTTCAGTTGAGTTTAAACTACCAGAAATTCTTGGTTGATAAAGCTTTGTACAGAAATAATAGATAATTACTTGTTAACATACTAAATAAGGTAAAATCCAATTTTCTGACTTTTGCAATAATTAAGGATTTCAAATACCATAAGCAGAGATATGATTAAGCAACAGTGTATTTAGCAGTGCATCAATAAAACACCAATCATAGATACAAATCAAATCAAAAGTGAGTACTTAAAATTTTTAACAGCAGCCTAGAAGTCCAGAATTGTGTACCACAATAATATCGAGGCCCACTCAAATCAATGATAATTTGGTAGCAGTTTTAGATTAACTGTAGTTCATAAGACCTTGTCCTTTTTAATGTATTAGTCTGAAAATGTGCTATCATCAACTAACATCATTATTTTCCTACAATGTTTCAGTTTATTATTTCTGTCACCTCTGAGAACAGAAATTTTACACAAAATGGCCTCTGGATACAATCTCTTCCAGAAGATTCATGCTTGAGCTATAAGTTGGTTTAGAGCTTTCAAGATTGTAAATGGCAAGAACTATGCTCTGAAACAAATGAAGATTATTCATTTAAATGAGATTCTATGGCTTCTGGGTGGAACTCCAAGGATAATGTATTACCGTAACTCAAATAGGATACTTAACATTGCCTAGATGACGTTGTTTAGTTTCATTTCATTTAAAGATGTTGTGAGGAGCCAGATTGTTGGGGGCAATTTGCTTACTTGGTAAAATGTTTAGAAGGATCCGTAAAGAGAGGTATAGAAGTCTAAGTGCTAAGTACTATTGCTATTCTTTTTTATTTTATTATTTTTTAGTGAATGACGCCTTTCATTTGCTTCATCTTCTCTCTCTCTCTTTTTTTTTTGCAGCATTTACCAAAAGTAGCATTCGTTCAGATTTAAATTCAGCTAAAAAAGATACCAACAGCAGGGCCGTGAACAGGATGAAGCTATTGACAGAAAAGAAGAAGCTTTAAAGCAAGAAGATGATAGACAAATTTATTCCAGAAAATTCAGCTCTGCATCTTTAGTTTTTGGCAGTGGCCACAATCAAGTGTAACTATATTTATGAAAGCTTTTGGGGGAGCCCTGGTTCAAGAATTGCCAAATATTATCATTCAAACTATTATTTAAAACAAGGCAGGTTAAATCTGAAGATGCACCATACAGTATATTGTAAAATGCCAGCTTGCCTGGTATTTTCTTCGGTTTCCTTCTATCAATTCTTTGAAGTCTATTCAGAATGTATTTAATTGAGACAAAGAGAAATAGTGTATGTGTCTGCATGTACACTTGCATACATGCAGACATAGAAGTTGTGTACGCTTTAACTTCAAAGACTTAACAATATTTTGATTGAATAGTGTTCGTTCAGTGAAATATAAATACATTTTGTGATAATCAGGAAATACTGAATAAAAATTACTTTGTCTATGTATACAAGTTCTATAATATTAAGAAATGTACATAGTATTTTACAACAAAAGGTGCCTCAAACATATTATGCAATGATTACATTATCCTGATTAATAATAGACATAGTTTATTTCTGAAACAATGAACTGAATTTCCTCCATCTGATCCAAGGTAACAGAAAAATATAGCCTAATCCCAAATTGGAGGAACTCTTTGTAATAATCTATTTTTATCATTAAGCCCAAGAATAATTTTGTTTCTAAAAAAATTAAAACATCCTAATAATGTAATGAAATATTTTTGGCTCTATTTGTTAGAAGAATTTAGAGTTACACTATTTAATTTTACATTATAGATCTGGAGACACTTATAAGTTAATAAACAAATTGGAAACTTTTGACGGGAGAGGTTCCTTTTTATATGTTATTCAGCCTTTTCAAACAAGTATTTCCCATAATCATATCATTTTCATTCTTATTCCATCCATTTATTGAAAATTTAATGGAAATGTACATTCTTTTGGCTATATATTATGAACTGGTTTAATTCAACTCTTTCCTTTTTTGTCATTTTAATGAAGTCCTAAAGTACTCTTTCCCTTCACCAGTCACATTATTCTGATCTGCCAATTGCAAGCCAAGTCCTCACAAGAGAGTCTTGAGTGCCAACACAATAGTCAAACTAGAGATTGTACTAATGATATGGATTGTTTCCCAATAACATGGTGATGTTACTGTAGCATTTTCTCTAGATAGTGGCCTGCTCTTCCAAGACTGGTTATTTTACTATCAATGTTAATAATGATGTCAGCTCATTTGGCCCTCTCAATTCTTGGCAAATAGATGGGGAAGAAATGGAGGTAGTGACAGATTTATTTTCCTGGGCTCCAAGATCACCACAGATGGGGACTACAGCCAAGAAATTGAAAGATGCTTGCTCCTGGGTGGGTGGGGGGGAGCTACGGCAAATTTAGACAGCATACTAAAAATCAGAGATATCACCCTACCAACAAAAGTGCATATAGTCAAGGCTATGGTTTTTCCAGTTGCAATATATTGCTGTGAAAGTTGGACCATAAGAAAGGCTGAACGCCAAAGAATTGAGGCCTTTGAACTATGGTGCTGGAGAAGACTCCTGTGAGTCCCTTGGACTGCAAGGCGATCAAACTGCTCATCCTAGAGGAGATCAACCCTGACTGCTCCGAGCCGAGGTGGCGCAGTGGTTAGAGTGCAGTACTGCAGGCCACTTCAGCTGACTGCTAACTGCAGTTCGGCAGTTCAAATCTCACCGGCTCA